AATCATGCTGCCATGTTCCTTTAATGCCCTGAAAATACTTGATCAGATAGTGGGGTACCTCACTGTTCGCAGAGCTAATTTGATTGTTCTATTGGCATGCTGCTCCTGGAATCAAAAACTATAGATAAGTCTGCTTTCCCAAGCTGATTTATGTGGCAGAAAATTATCAAGATTTTAATAATAGAATGGTAAGAATGAAAATGACCAACACGGTCCCCCCTCCGAATTGACGAATAGCCTCAATTGTCAAAACCCAGTGAATTCACTATAATCATCAATTTAACATGAGGCAAGGCCGCTGATCGTGTTGATCAAAGACTCAGGTGTTCAATGTATGCATTGCTAGATTTGCATATGAAAAGTTTGTTCTACTGAAATTTTCCAGCTTGTAATCCACTGTAAATTTTCTATTTGACAATGAGTGAGCCAGTACAGTTTACAGGTAGGAGAGTCAGTCTTTGCACATTTTAGTTTTTCCAAGGAAACTGTTAATTTTTTTGCCTTTGTTTTTTTTTTTATCTGATCTTTCGAATTCATAAACGTATCAGAAACATCATTTTCTGTACGCGTTACTGGTCAGCTTATATTTTCTTCTAAAATACTTGTTTTTTGAAACCACTTTGAATTTTCGATCAGCGATTGTTTCAACGATCCACGAAATTTTGTAAAACTCATTTACCACACAATTTTTATGAGTACGAATCACTTTTAGCTAAATTTGTGAGCTTAAGTTTTCATGCGAAATGGTGCGACACAATTTCACAGTTGATTTTCATGAAATGCTGCGTGTGCTGTTCATTAAAGCCATAGAGGAGCTTATTGTTCAGATGTTCACTTGGTTCATAATTTGTGTCTTTTTACTCTTTATGGGTCAATGCGATATTTAGATAATAACATCTAAAAGAAAGGGGAGTCGGGGGGGGGGAACTTGGATTGTGGGTTTGATCTTTACTTCTCATATTTAATCGCGATAAATTGTTTTTAAATTGTTTTTAAATTGTTGTGTGGCATTTTGCACAGAGTTTCAAAAATTGATCGGTATCATATACAGCCCTTCAATACTTTTTAACAATGTGTAGCTACAACAGAAAGGTTTGACATATTACCCCACCACCCTAAGTAAATTTTGGGTCTTTGACATCCTCCCTCCAACTTCATGTGTAGGGGGGCAGGGAAGTATGGATCTTCACAATGAATGACTGCTATGAAAATGATCATAATTTATTCTTGCCAATTATTTACTTTTTGATCACATATAAGTAGCAGAATTCAAATCAGTGCTACATGTATTTTGCTTTTGGAAGGAGTCTAGACTCTACACATGTAGGATTACAGTTTAGCCCCTATTAAAAATAATTGAAGAACGCTCATGGGAATGGCCGAAAGGTGGCCTGGGCCGCTCTATAGGGGTGGCTGCTTAAAAGGGGTTTTAATTATTTACAATATTATACTGACAGTAGTTTTGGTACATTTAAGTGACTGGTTGATTAATAGGGGGTTGCCGCTAAATGGGACATAGCTGCTTAATGGGGTTTGTCTGTATGTTCTTTTGTCTGAAGCTACGTAAATGTAATGAGCCCCCGATGACATTCTCACAATATTTCCTTGCTAATTATCATTCTGCTAAGACATTTTGCACTCCTTCAAATGAGAAGCATACCTCATCATTAAAGGTTACGCTCTTTAACCTCTAGGCACAAAAAACAAAGATGTTTTTGTTATCGCTATTATTTCTGTTTATATCTATGTTTAATGGTGTTCCATATTTGAATGAATGAATGAAAAACTTTATTTATGTGTCAAGGAATTCTAGCATGGGTAAAAAAACCCTCTACTAATAGGGGACACTTAAAATAAATAAAATAATTTATTAAAATTTAAACACCTAAAATTTTAAATTTTAAAAGATGTAATGGGGTTTTTCTTATTTATTTTTAACATTCACTTTTTTTAACTCTATGATATCATTGTTACTTTATCATACCAAGTTTGCCCTGAGTCATTAGCCTGAAGAAGAAAGGCAGCTAGCGCCTTTTGAAATATTGGCATTGATTTTATATATTAATCCTTTACTGTAAATAAATCAATTCCTTACCCTTTTTTTTTGGCAACTGTTACAACGGTGAAGTGGGCACGGGTTGTGGGTCTTAAAGTGGGCCACAGACCGTGGGAGTGAGTCACCGGGCCACCAGCCTGCTTTTAGCAAAGCCATCAACCAAGGCCACCAATTAGTTGGATGTTTACATGATTTTTGTTTGCACGAAAACTTAAATGTGCGTCTTGACTGGGATATAGTATATGCACTGATGAGTAGCACAATCACCATGCCCATAGGGGGTTGACTGCAAACTTTCAATGATTTCTTCTGTTTTACATTTTCATTGAAGCCAAATCTTTGCTTACAGGTAAAGTTGTTCTTATTGATTATTGTAAAAGCAAAAAATCAGAAAACCACGTTACTGTCTTCGAGAAAATACCCGTGAAAGATGAAAAATCGAGCCAATTTTGGTTGTAACGCGTAACACAATATCAGTGGTAAAATTTTTGAAATACATTTTTCACTGAAAAGAAAGCTCGTTTGACTAAACAAATTACACCTAATGATAACACACAATAAACACTACATTTGAGCAAAACTTTGACATTTCAAGTTTATTAAAACGAATAGAAAAGATTCATCATTCTTAAGTATCCTTTGTGTAACGCTGGGTTTCAGAATTTGGAAGTACACCAAGTTGTCCGTAGATTGACTGAACTGGAATCCTGTGGGAACAAAAACACATTAACCAAATGCTCATACTTGGTGTTCTAAAATAGCGAAAAATCAGTCTAAAGGATTGACTATAAACGGAGAAATATCAGTGTAAAACAGTCGCTACGGTTTTCTAAAACCTGATTACGCAATAATATTTTTCTTCAACTTACCTTCCCCTTCGCCACTATAGAGAACTTAAGCAACGGAAGTTTTCGGGGCGACGGCGACTGGAGTGGCAGAGGGAAGCTGGGACCGATGTAGCCGTCGCCTCCCGCCAAATTCAACTGTTTAAGCGGCAAGTTCATTCAGACGGCGACGGAGTGGCTTTCCAAAGAAAAAAATGACTTCTTTTAAAGAAACGAGAGAATTAACACTGCTGTGTTATGCTGAAAATTTACTTTCCGATGATGAATTTCTCGTTTTATGGGAAAACAATCAGTCAAGCAACCCAGATTTTCCTTGGGACAGTTATGGTCCGTTCGACCTCGAAAACATAGATGAAGCCGAATGCAAAGCAGAATTTCGCGTAGAGAAAAGAGATCTTCCTACACTAAGAGAAGTACTCGGGATTCCACCCACTTTCAAATGCCCACAGAGGACTATATGCGATGGAATGGAAGGACTGTGTATGCTACTAAAACGGTTAGCTTATCCTTGTCGTTACAGCGATATGATCGCGCGTTTTGGAAGACCTGTTCCTGAACTGTGCATGATCACGAACCGAGTCATGGATTTTATCTATGATGCACATGGTCACCGAATCACTCAGTGGAATGACACTATACTGAATCCCAGATTGCTTGAACAATATGCCACTGTCATCACAGAAAAAGGAGCAGCTCTAGACAACTGTTTTGGCTTTATTGATGGTACCGTACGACCGATCTCCAAACCAGGAGATATGCAGAGAATCGTTTACAATGGGCACAAGAGAGTACATGCTCTCAAGTTTCAGTCGGTTGCCATACCTAATGGGCTCATTGCCAATATGTTTGGCCCTGTGGGTAAGTGCCATTGAACAATATTACTTTAAAACTGTTTGCAAAAATAGGGGTAGCATTGATTTGAATAACCCGATGCAGTTTTTAAAGGACATGGCTAAAATTTAATGAAAAGTCATTTGCCTACATATGGCAGTATATAAAAAGTACTGCTTGATCTTAGAAGTTTGGAACAAATGTAAGAACAAAAGATCACTATTATCACTTCTGTTGCTGTATATTAAAATTAGGAAGCTATAGGTTGAACTATATAGTAAGTACCTTAAGTTTATTACTTTTTTTTTCTTTACTTTAGAGGGTAGGAGGCATGATGCAGGGATGTTGCATGATTCTGGGCTACTTCACAACCTGGAAGCCTATGCCTACTCAGCAACAGGGCTACCGATGTGTTTGTATGGCGACCCTGCTTACCCCCTAAGAGTCCATCTTCAGGGGCCATTCCGGAACCCCCACCTTACTCCCTTGATGGAAGCATACAACAGTTCAATGAGTTCAGTAAGGGTGTCTGTAGAGTGGTTATTTGGAGATGTCATAGAATATTTCAAGTTCATGGATTTTAAAAAGAATCTCAAGATAGGAATGAGCAGTATTGGAAAGATGTACATTGTTTGTGCACTTCTGCAAAATGCTTTGAGTTGCTTGTATGGTAACAATACTGCAACATTTTTTGACCTTGAGCCTCCCACCCTGCAAGACTATTTTGCATAGCTGATGTGTTGAAGAAAAGAGAACTTTATCTTCTTATGAAATTTTATAATTTGAAACAGTTATGGAATGCAATAACTTGGACATTATCTTTTGAAATCTGAGGAGCAGCCCCTCCCAATCAGCTGATTTAAAAAAAAAATGCATATAAACCTATCATGGTCAAGGGTTGTTGGGTGTAGCAGAGTTTGTGAGGCACAAAATTTCAGACACTTGTTATAAACATATATTCAACATGTACAGTCCAACAATTTTAACCAATAAATTAACAACAAAATGTTTAAGCCTTATTTGTCTTTTTTCGTACCAGCTTCTGCATGAATGAGAAGCCACCAAAGTTTCCAAGAGGCATTTATCATAATAAGCAAATTCAAATGATTATAACATGAAAATATAAACATTTCTTTCATAAATGCCATTGTCCTATGAAAGTTAATGAACATAAATTCAAATCTCTCTCTGCAAAGTGCCATTCAAAAAGACACCATTGGCTAACAACAACAAATTAAGTTACAGTAATTAACAGTTAATTCCTCTCTTTAGGCAACATTTTTTCCATGAGGGTGAGCAATGCTTGATTCATTTGCTGTTAATTGTTGCTGTAATATCAACAGTGTTTGGCTTTGTTGATCTTTCCTTAACTGTAGCTCTTCCTCTCTCAGAGAATGTTCTAACTTTGTTTTTTCTCTGAGAAATTCTACTGCATCACTGCCACTTCTCCTTTTTTTCTTTTTGGCTCCTTCCTCTCCATCCTCTCCACCTCTTTTTCTGGTGTTTCCAAACCGTTCCATAGCCTTAATCCGTATTTCTTCTGCTGCCTTTTTGTCAGCTTCAGCTTTCTTCTTTCCTTCTTTATCACTGTCAATAGCAGCATCTTCTTTTCCAATAAGATCTTCAATGATCTCATCAAGTTCTCCAACCTCAGCATCTATTCCAGTTGCTTGGATTTCTTCTGACATCCTTCTTTTATACTTTGTGCGTAACAGTGTCCAACGATCGCGACATGACCGTTTTGCAACTTTAAACTTTGGGTAATCCATTGCATTTAAATTACCAGCAATAGAATCCCATAATTGACCCCTTTCTGGAGTGCCCTTCTTGTACTGAAAAAGATCACTGATTGTCATTTCACCCAGAAGAGCCTTGTCATGCTGCTTTGTCCATTCCATCACTGTTCTAGGTAACATTAAGACAAAAAAAGATTGTTTTGTTTATTTGTGATTGATAGCTGCACATGCAACAGAAAACAGAAACAGGCTAATTTAAAATTCTGGTGCAATTGTCTGGTTGTCCATGAGACATACAAATTTTACCTTACAACAATTATTGTAAAAGTTCTAACACTAGACATGAAAAGCTATTTTTCAGTTGAACGAGGACAAGAATAAACCCATAGCAACCATTTATGGCTAGATCATTTGCATATTTTTGTGTTATAAGAATTAAAATTCAGCATTCCTGCATGCGTAATTAGCAATGAATTTTAGAAACTACAGCATCTCAGAATTTCGTTAGATTGAAAAATCTTTCAAACTTTTGAATGGAGAAAGTTCCAACAGATGCAGTAATATCGAATTCTTAATTTGACACAAATTAGCTGTTTATTACGCATGCATGAATACTGAATTTCGAAATCTGACTAACGAAAGCTAGAACGTTTATATAAATAATCGATCCATTCATGGAGTCTTGGGCTGGTTCGACCGTAAAAAAAAAACATTTGTCATAAAAAGACAATTCAATATCCAGCTGTGTATTTTGGAAAGCTCCCTCAAATCATAAATGTCCGTTTAAAGAAAAGTTCAGTTTATTGGAGGCACTGATTTCTCAAGAAAATATGACTCGCTTTCCAAAGGTTTTTAAAAATGAACTTTTCACTGAATTGTATTAAAATAACATTCTCGTGAAATTAGCGAGACCAAGCAGTTGTAACATGTTTACATGTTTATACTTAGAGCTAAACCTTTCAGTATTAGTAGAGAAGTGAACTATCGCAATTCGCTGTAAACTACTGTTTTCCCGCTGAAAATAAATAGAAATGGTCAAAGAAATGAGTTCGAAGTACACCCTGGCTGAATATTTTTGTACAAATCTACAGACAGATTCAATTGTTATTCTCACTTACGATTTTGTGCTTGTTGAGTTGGCCATTATAAGCGTTTAGCTAGAAAGAAGAGTAACTCACAAGTTAGGACGAATTTAAGGCAAAAAAGAACAGTTAAATCGAGCTAAAAAGTCACCTGTATATTAACAATGAAATCAAAAGTAAGATTTCGAAAAATAGCATTTGTTAGAGGTCACAAAAATGACCAAAACAGAAAGCTAACACTCACGTTTTCACCACAACGGCAAACACCCGCTCTTCACGTCGCCGACGTCCCTGCGACGGCTGGGAAGTTGGCTAAATCATGCGCAGTAATGCACGGGTCATGATTTAACTTCCGGTCTAAGTCGCCGTCGCCCCGAAAACGTCCATTGCTTAAGTTCTCTTATACTTCAAACACGGCGAAGTCGGGTTTCAAAATCGATTGCACTTCAATGCTCATAAGTTTCTCTTGTCATTTCCAAGTTTTCGGGTCCATATCTTTAGAAACGGCCAAAATATTCACTTTTGACCAAGTCGCTACGCTTTTTACCATGTTGACGCCATATTGAGAACGGAGTCTCGCCACAAATGCCACCAAAAGCGCTATGAAATCTGCTGTTTGCTCCGCCATTTTCGCCTTCATCTTTTCATCTCCGTGTCGAAAATAGCTTGGTAACTGTAGGCGCAGCAATTTGTATTATCATTTTTTGTTAGTGTTGGTGTTTCATAGTTTTGTGTTAGGTGTTTATTTTCTCGTCTTCATTAGTGTCCTTTGTCAGTTACCAGTTTTGCACTTGTGATATTTCTTTGCATATCGTATATATATATTGGTTGCGCGTAATTTATTTGGTTAGTTGTCTAGTTTGCGAAAATTATCGTTACCTATCTAGCTCTGGGTTTCATGTTTTCGTCTTTGGTTTGGTCACATTCGTCTTGTAAGTATCCTTGTTTATTTCGCTTTGTCGTTTTCCAGTACTTTCACTCATACGATGTAAGTTATTTTATGCTCATTCGCGTGTTTGTAATTTTGTCATTTTCAGTTACCGTATTCAACAATGTGTCAAGTTTGTTCTAGTAAAGTTTGAAATACGAGTGATTAGCGTTTGCGGCTATAGTAACCTTTCCTGTTTTGACGGTTTCTGCGAAGTTATCAAGGGTCTCTGGGTCTTCAAGCTCAATAATTTTTCTGAGATTTAGCAATCTGTAAAAATCGCTTCAAGTGCGCTTGACAAGAGGTATGGTTAACGAAAAGGAAGAAAAGCTTGCGAGGATCAAAGAGTGGAGGAGGAAAAAGCAGGAAAAGTCAATAGGCTAAGGAATCTAAAATATAATGAAAAGAATCACAAAAAGAGAGCTGAATTTCCAAGAGAAAAATGGTGATGTGATCTTCAAGTTGTAAAAAGAGGCAGAAAGTCTGTTTTTAGAGTGCCAGTTGATCTCACTGAGGAGATACTAGCCTCCATGTAATACAAAATGTTATTATTTCTACTTTTTACTATGTCAGTGAACTCGAAATTGATTATTTATGAAAAAGACCACACCCACAAGGGATTCTGGGAAATACAAATTTGAATCAAATGTGACAAAAATAAAATAGTTTGAAATAACTCAGTTGTAATAGTAAATGTGAGTTTAAAATAGACCTAAAGAAGTGATTTTGTCCCAAACTAGCAATTTTCACATTTTCCGTACATGTTACAGAAGTGGGTATGGTGATTGTGCTACTCATCACTGTATTTTGTGAAATTATTTGCATAGTGCAGGTTGAATTAAACCCCTGATAACTCTCAGGAAGCATGTACTTTGTAGTGTTTCCATAACGAAACATGTGAAAATTGATCTGTTCCACTTCCTCACCAGTGGAGCAGGCACTTCCATCTTGCCATCAACCACCCCATATGACCTGTTTAATATAAATAATAGTAGTAGATCTTATTGTGTAACTTGTTCAAATTTGTGTAACTTATAATTCAAATTAGCTTTCATTTACAAACTTTAAGAAACTACACATGTATAAGCATTATAATTTATACCTGGCATGTCCAACTGTGAGCTTTTGCATGCATTACTGACAAGGCTGGTTTCATATCGCAGTTTCCTAATCCCCCAGCTTTTCCAGCCCACTTCCAGTATTTGCAAACTATATCTTCCCCGAATTGACACTGGCTGGTATCATTTTTTTCTGATGTATAAAGTTTGCATAGCCATACAGCTCTCCCTGGAACATGTTCACTGCCCACTGGGCCAAGCCATGCCTGCAACCTACATGATTGTATAAGTAACACTTTCAATAAGTACACAAATGCATCTCTTCCATATACAGCTGTAGATTTTCAGACCAAATACATTTATGACAATATATATTTCATTTTGACCTGCAGTCTCAAGTCCAGTCTCGTCAAGTTTGGCTGCTTTTTTGCCATGGTTGTTTACAGCCCTCCAGTGTGAATCACCACATCTATTATCAACATCCTGTGGTCAAGCAAAACACCCATCAAATATCACGTCAAGAAAATAAGCTCTAAAAGCCATCAATTGACATAAACGTATGTCATACAAAATGCATTCTAAAGCAAAAAACCTTAGATTTGGACTTCTTTGCATATACTGCCTTCATGTGGCTGTCTACGTCATGGTTGTTGGCAATGAAGAGGTCTCCATAGTATGATGGCCTTCTTTGACTAAGTATGTGAGAGAAAATTTAAAAACAAAATTATTGCATTAAATGCAAAACTTAAATTTAATTTCAATTAATATCATCTCTGAATTTTTATACTACTTCTATTTAGTCTACATATTATATTACTGACAGAAAGCAAACTATGAATTCCCTTTGATTAATAAATGAGGTGTTTTATTGTTTCAAAGATTGTATGTAAAACAATTTAGAAATTTGCTGCTAAGGACCTTGATTAAATGTTGAATTACTGCTACAGATTACTGGTTCTTAAAACTGATATGACCACATCATGAAAATCAACATTTTACCATAATTTGAGCAATACACCTCTATATACAGTGAATACAAACCTTCCTGATGTCTTGAAGTGATAAAGTTTCATGTTTCCATCAACATCGCAGGAGTGCTGAAAAATTGAACAAGAAAGGCACTTCATCCAGTCAAGCCCTTGATGACAATCTAACTCGTACTGCAAGAACTTCCACTCTTTAAAAGACCTTGAGAATGTGGTATGATTAATGGTTGGTGCCTGTTGAAATAATAATTTTTAAACACCCTATTATTATTATTATTATTATTGTTAATGAGATTATTATTGATTTTAGGAAGTGGACTCATACCCCTCCTTTCATAACAGAAACATCCTCAATAGCTCTGATAAAGGAGCTTTCTGAGGTCCCAGGCATTCTCTTCTTAAAAGTATCCCACAGATGAAAAAGCTGCTGATCAAAGACATAACTTGTATCTGTGGGGCTTCCTGGCCAATACCCTGCATGTACAACACCACTTAGGGACCAGGATGGAGAAACAAAATTGCACTGGCTACATTGGATGGTAGACTTGTTTAAATAAAATAATCCTGGAACAAAGAAAATATATAAGCATTAATTTTGCAAAACAGAAAAAAAAACAGGCTGAAAAAAATGCACTACTATGTTTTACAAATCAATAGCTCCTGATCACAGGAAGGTGTTCCATCAAGGTATAGATAAAGAGCAAATTATTTTTCATTTCTATGAACATGACTTGTAACTCATTCAGTCTAAACACTACCTTTCTCATTCACAACAATGACCACTCCTGAAGTTGTTAATTGGCGTGAAACCCCAGCCTCTTTACAGCTTGGGCAGTACCCAGGCAAACTGATGAATGGAAATGGCTTAACTTGCAGAGGAAAAAGACAGAACAAACCAGTTCAGGTTATTGATAACATAAATAGTCCAGTGACTGGATTTCATAATCATTTAACTGAAAATCTACATACATGTATAGTGTAAGCTACCTTAAAAGAAAGCAACCCATATAACACTAAACTAACAATTATCACTACTTGGTTTTCAATTCATACATGATGTATGTATATTCTCCAAAGACTCAACAAGAACCCTGAGAATATAACAAAATTAATATCACAAATACAATATTAAACAAAGAAAAACAATGATGGTCAGCACAAATTTAATACATGTACAGTAGCTGTCTTCAGAGTGATGTTCTTCCCTTTAGATATCTGCTTACCTATGTTTTGCTTTACTCCATTTTTATCAATTATCACCATTGGAGGGATAGCCTGAAAGAAACCATCAACAAACCCATCTCTGTTATGAAATGGCAAGAAAGAATGCACATTTACATCACATGAAGGACAGAAAAATTTCTTTGGGCAGTCATGACATCTTATAAGTGTTTTCTCTTCCAAACATATCTGACAATGATCAGGTGAAGGGAGACTCTCAAGATTAAGAAGAGCTTCTAGCAGCAGGTTTCTGTTATTATCCCAGCTGGATGACAAATTCACCATTCTGGTCTCCCAATTTTTAGATGGATTATTTGTAGAGCTGAGAAACTCATTAAATCTTGCCTAAGCAGCCTTGAGATTGTCTGTGGAACAATATTCATATCTATGTTAATTACATCTGAGATATATCAGGAAATAAATTATTACTATTATTATTATTATTATTATTATTTTTTTTTATTAGGCAAATAGAAATGTTTTATGCATCACAGATTTCTCCCGCACTAGCAGAAATATTTTTATACAAAACTAAATGTTCATTGTTGCTATTTTCATAGGTTAGGAATGTCAGGGATTATCAGTGAAAAAATTCCAGTTGCTGCTAACACATAACAGAAAAATAAAGTAATAAATATAAATCACATTTTTGCAAACTTTAAATAATCAAAAGAAACCAGTTCTTTAACTATCCCCTTTTCCAGCTGGTAAGTCACAAACTCTGGCTCTCTTTCCCTGATAGCGGACACTCACAAATTTTAAATTTTAACTATAGCAATATTTTTCAATGATATCCGCTGACCGTATATTGTGGTGTCGCGTCCAAAACTGGAGGGAGTTACGTGATCGTGTTGGTGTGACACATGATCAGGGATTATTAGTGAAAAAATTCTAATTGCTGCTAACACATAACAGAAAAATAAAGTAATAAATATAAATCACATTTTTGCAAACTTTAAATTATCAAAAGAAACCAGTTCTTTAACTATCCCCTTTTTCCAGCTGGTGAGTCACAAACTCTGGCTCTCTTTCCCTGATAGCGGACACTCACAAATTTTAAATTTTAACTATGGCAATATTTTTTAATGATATCCGCTGACCGTACATTGTGGTGTCGCGTCCAAATCTGGAGGGAATCACGTGATCGTGTTGGTGTGACACACGATGACAGATCGCAAGATCCCTTCGAACAGTGCACGTTGACCTTGTCGCGGGAATGGCCTCACAGTCTACAACTAGTTTTTGACTTGAAGATGTTACGGTAAGTTAGATGTTGTAAAGGAAATTCCGTTACTTACTTCATAGCTCTTTTTGCACGATCATGCGGCGGCAACACTTAGGTGTGAAAGAATATTGCGTCGAACTCAAAACATGATCCTCGTTAGTTTCGAAATCTATTTTTTAGCTATTTGAAATATCTTTGTAATGATTATTTCTAATTTTTTCTCAACTCTTATATCCTAAATGTAGGTTTAATTCCGTGAAGTTATGGAAGAGATTCCATGGAATGCTTGCAGCTGGAAAATTATCACACCAGAAATACATCATCGTATTTCAAGATTGCGTCTTAAAGGTTTGCGAACCATTTCATTACGTTAGTAGTGTTAAAGTTTCAAAGCCTACTGCTTTTCTACTGCATTATTCAATCAAAACTTCCTTTCCTTTAAGGTGTTTTAATGATCTTGCTGATTTCGGCGCATATGGTTTATTTGAAGATAACGGTTGCGTGAGCGTCACAAACCAAATGCAACCCTTCGAATTTGCCGAAACAGTCTCAATTATTAGATTATTTGTCATCGACGTACATGTTCGCGCGGTCAGGTTTGTGAGAAAGGTGAACACAAGGCGTTGACAGTCCGTTTGTTTCGTTCACCGTGCAGTTAGGATATTTTATCGTTTCATAGTTTGATATGGAGGTTGTTTTCACGATCACAGAACTTAGTCGAAAATAAATCCCACTCAAGCATGATTGCACCCTGCCACACAGTGACAATGATGTCAGAAAATCGTACTACTTCATTGCAAGAAGTCAGCTTTGCTTTTGTAAAGAATTACCTATAACCTCAATTTTTAAACTGTCGGCTGTTGCATACTGTTGTTGCAATAACATAACTTTCGGCGGGAAAATCCGCCATTTTTAACGAATGATGGTCGCTTTGCCAACGCGTAGATGTAAGTTCGCCAACGTCCTAAATAGAGCTTTTAGTTAAAAATAATCGTCAAATAAATGACTTGGAATTTACCTGAATGATTCAGACAGTTGATGTTGCGTCTTTCCGGATTCTGTCACAGACCGCCATATTTGTTATTGAACCTTTAAATTCGTCCGAATTCCTCTTTAAATACTATAACATTAAATTATTGTTGCTCGTTTTCATTTGCAAACTTGGTGGCATCTAAAGGAGCTGTTTTTTGTTGTGGTTTTTGTTGAGTTGTTAAGTTCCCTTGGGTTGGGCCTTTGAGACGAGAACAGGTTCTTGGCAGCTGTGCAGGGTCTACTCTGTTGTCTTGTACTACTCCCAGCTGTCAAATGGCATTGCCAACAGGTTTCTGTACTGCTTCTGCTTGACCTGCTTCTGCTGGACCTGCTTCAGTTTCCTGTTTGAGATAATCCTGAT